TAACAAATACCAACTTTTTAATTCCAATGTCTGTTTTAACTATTATGCAGATGTAATGAAAAAAATTACCTGCATATTATGAACTGGGATTTACACCAAAGCATCTGCTCTATTTTTATGTCCTTAAGTGCAACAAGTTATTAGACTGTCAAGTTTGTGATATTTATGAAAATTTATTTTGCCATGACACATGCTGGCCCTAGTACCTGGATCCTACCTCTATGTGTGACATAAAGTATTTCAGCTGTGCTATTCAGGCACTACTACTAAAATTGAGACTGTCAGGCTCCAGATATCTGCTGTCCTTGTTCCTTTTCTATTTCTGTGGAGCACACTATAATAGTGGGATCTTTACAGGGATACCATTTTGGAACTGTCCAGGTCTCTATTCTAAAACACCAGTAATTAGTGACAGCACAACCAAATACAGTAGGTTTGTTGTTTTTTTTTTTTTCTAGTAGGCATATAGTTAATTTGGGATGCAATGGAATTATAAAACACATTTATGTCAGCACAGGTCCTGAGCTGGAGCACTGGAAGGAACACTGAGTGGCCTCAGAGTCCTGCCTCAGTCTCTGGATCCTGACAAAAATTCTGAATTTGTCCTACAATCTCATCCCAGCTACTGCTTGCTCATGTTCTCACAAAGTTGTTGCTGCCCTAAGACAACAGATGCCCCACACTAGGTTGGAAAGCTGGTTTAGAGATGACTTCTGCAGCCCACACAGTTTCCTTGAGCCTTTCATGGGGAGGTAAGACAATTGCTTTCCCAGTTGTTCAAAACCTACCTCATTTAGTCACAATGCTCAGGCTTATCCAGTGCCTACTGAGAAAATATTTACTTTCTTTGACTCTTTCTTGAGTCCATTGGTCACTCAGCAAGGGTAGACTATCTCTGATTGCTCTGAGAGGTGTCACTGCTACATTAAAACCCTTTTTCTCTGAAGTAATACATCTCAGTAGAGGAGATGAGGATCTGTTTTGTCAAGGCTGAAACAGAAAACAGATGTTCCTTGCTTAGCACTTCTCTTTGGGATTATGCTGGTTTCCCCTCTGTCTTTTATGAAAATGTTGAAGACCTATATATTGCTAAAGTCAGGAAAAAAACTCTGTTAACCACATTTTTATCACTCTCCCCAGCAAGAGAGAAATTTAGGATCTTTAGTACTAGACTATCCCTGCTGACATGGGTTCCAGGTGTAGGATCAGAGAAGGAATTTGGGAGATCTGATCTTGGCATACCTAATACTGCTTTCATCCCCATCATTTGTCAGTATGTGTTTATTGCCTGGTTGTTGGCTATCATCTCACTGCTTGTGGTGCAAGCACTGACACCTGCAATTCTCTCTTCAGCCTGAAGTACCAGTACTCTGCAGAGAGTAACAGTACTGGGGCATGTAGCTTTACTGGGCCACTGGAGGGCAGGACTGGTATTATGTATCAGGAATTAAATGAGAAGGAAGTTACCGTCACGCACAGCAGCACCCATTAAGAATGTTCACATATTTTGAAGTCTGTGTCCATAAAGTCAATAACATCCGCATTCTCAGGCTTTATTTCATCAGCAGCAGAGAGTGATCCTTTGATCCTTACTTTTCACTTTTGCTATGTAAAACAGAACTAGAGGAAAGGCTTTGCCTGTTCATCTTTAATTACAAACATCTCTGGGCTATTTAAGCTGTGGTGAAAACACAGTGAGTCAGTGTGACAATACTGACAGATCAGGGTGAAAGCAGTTGTGAACCCAGCATCCTTTGACTTTGCACACCCAGCTGCCCACATGAAGTGCTGCAAAAAAAAAAAAAACTATCACAGAGAAAAAAAAAAAGCCTTTAGCTTAGCTATGGAGCATGCCAAGTTTGTGGGGTACGGGATGGTGATAAGGAGAGTTCCATATATATGGGTGTTGAAAGCAAATGTCCTCATTTGCATTGTGCTTCAGGAGTGTCAGGAGCGATAGCATGTCTCTCCGGATTATCTTCAGAAGACAATCAGGTCAGTCTTTCATTAATTTTACAAACCAGATTTGATCTAATTGGGCATTTTTCACAGTAAATCAAACAGCTTCTACACTAGTGAAGGATGTTTAAAAAGGAAGTGAAGCTCTGATGTGAGCTGGGGGAAGGAAAGGGATAAATGAGTCAAAAGCCAAATCCAGACTTCTCCTCAGACTCTTGATTTTAGTATTAGTGGTATATGAATACGTTTCTGACAGGAGCTAGAGAGGCAGTTAGAGACAATGCCCAGTAACATGAAAGTTATTAAAAATTTCCATTGAGCCAATAAATGAATAAATAAAATCCTTAATTTCAACTGTACCTGTAGTTCACTTGTGCTCATCAGAAATTAAAAATACATGTTTTTATGTATGGGAAGAATGATCTATTGGAGCAGAAGAAAACATACCAAAAGAGGGACGAAGACTTTGAATGACAAAGACAGGGGAAAAGAGCCAAAATAAAATGTAGGAAATGTGAGGAGAGGATAGTCAAGAAGAGAAACAGAAATAATTGTGGATGGAATAGTGGGTTTTTATTGTAACTTGCTGACACAAAAAAAAAAAAAATAAGGAAAAAGAACAATGTAATCGTGTGTTTGAGGGTTATAGTAAACAGAAAAGCCAAGGGAATAGCTGACCAACTTTCCCAGATCACAGTACAGAAACAAATGGAAGAAAACAGAAAACAAGTAAGGTCTGCAGAGAATGAGAGGTACGTCTCTGCAATACCAAGAGAGAGACAGACCTGCCTTTCCATCTGTACAACTGAAGATGACTGGACAGCTGAAGAAATAGACCTAATACTGTAGATCGGAGTAAGAACCGTTCTACCACTGAGGTTAACCTCAATGTCTTTGAGGTACCAAAGATGAATTTGTTTGAGAGTTTAAAAAAAGAAAAAAAATGTGTAGTGTGCCATTTTCCCTGGTAACCCATGTTTAAGGAGATGGGGAAGAGCAAACTTATCTCCTTTGCCTGACATTCAACTCGCCTTCAGCACATGGGTATGCATGTGTATGGTCACAGAAGCAAACAGTGCATCAGTCCACTCATGTGCATGACTCTAGTACAAGTGTAATGGCAACACCATTTGTCAGGTGGCACCCTGATGCTGACCCAGCACATTGACAAATTAACACAAGATTTTGCTATGTATGTCTAGTATGTGTTCTGCAATACTTTCTGTAAGTCACCAAACCACAGAGCAGCCGATGCTGGCAGGCACCTCTAGAGATATCTACTCCAGCCTTGCTGCTGAATTTCTCAAAGCCATGTCTAGTTTGGTTTTGAGTATCTCCAAGGATGGAGACTGTAACCCTGTAACCTCTCTGGGCATCCTGTTCTGTGTTTGACCAACCTCACAGTAAAAAAGTTTTTTTTATGTTTAGGTCATACCCCAGTCAAGTTCCTGGCCTTTATGTTTGGAAATGGCTTCCAGGGGAAATTGTTTCATCACCTTCCCACTGATGGAGGAGAGGCTGACAAACCTGTAGTTTCACAGATCCTCCTTCTTGCCCTTCTTGAAGATAGGACTGACATTTGCTTTCTTCCAGTCCTCAGTAACCTCTCCTGACCATCATGACCTTTCAAAGATCGTCAAGAGTTGCCTCACAATGATACCATCCAGCATGCTGAGCACCCGTGAATGCCTCCCACCATGTCCTATGGACTTAAATATATCCAGTGTGTTTAAGTGCTCTCTAACAATGTCATACTTTATGGGGAGGATAAGTCTTCCTTGCTCCAGACTTTCCCCCTGATTTGAGTGGCCTGGTATAGCTAAAGATCAGTTTTACCTGTAAAGACCAAGACAAAGAAGTACCTTGGGCTTTTCCATCTTTTTTTTGTCACCATTAGTGGGGTCAAACACCTAGGTAAAATGTTTATCAGAGCTGAATATTTTGTACAGAATTACAATTAACTTCCCAAGAGGGATTGGCTTTTATCACTGCCATGACTCTTGGCAATTTGAGGGGCCAGGCTAAGCAACAGTCAGTCAGCTGCTCTAACAGTGGTGGGAGCCCCAGCATTCAGGTGCGACACTTATGTTAAACCCTGCAAGGTCTCACCTATCCTACCAAAGACTAATGGCTCCTTTTCATAATCACTCATTCTCACTAGGCTTATTTTCTTGAAGTACTTTGTCTGTAAAGTACAGACATAGTACTGTCCTGAGAGTGTATTCCAGAACTCAAAATCCTAACAGATTTAGATATCTCTCCCCAACCATTGACCTCTGAGTAATTTTGATGAACCATTCCCATGTATTGCAAAGCTTTCACTTGTTTTTTGCAGAACAACAGAAAGAAAAGGTGTACTGTGTGGCAACACACCATCAAACGGGAAAGCCAAGATACTCCAAAACAAATTTTGCCTCCTGATGTCAAGTGAAGCAGGTAGTGGTTTGTGGTAGTGCTGTCAATCAGACCTGCACCTGCTTTTGGGTGTTGTAACCAGTAAGAAATCAGGGCTTCTCACCAGCTTGTCCTTTGGGACTGAAAGGGGCACATCCAACTCCAACCAGCAATTAACTTGTCAGAACTCAGCCAAAAATGCTCAGGTCTTGCTGACATTTAACTCTTCCCCTTTCATCTGCAGTGATAACAAGACTGAACAAATATATCCTCTTGTCAATAGTACCTGGAGAGCTAGTCTGCTTTGTGAAAACAAATTTAGAGCAACCTTCAGTTTGCTGCTTTTTCACCAGCATACTTCTTGCTACTATCCAGGGCTGTCCCAGTTTAGTAAAAGAGGACATATTCAGGCCACTGAGAGACATTGAGCACAACCCTCAGTAATGCATGGATTTAATCTAGCACCTCATTTTCTAGAGACAAATTGCTGTCACACCAGTAGCCTGAGCCACCTGTGTCCATGGAGGAGTGAGTCTTCGTTTGAAAGACCCAAAGAAAAAAAGATGATGTTTTTCAGTGTTACAGGTAGAAAATAACTTCTGACACTTGTTACTGGAAAGTTTTAGATAAGTCTTTATTTGTTCAGATAGCAGAGACATCAATCAATATTTGTTCTGGGATCATGCAGGTATTATAGAGTGGAGTCTGCCATTATGCAACCTAAAAGAAGAGATTGGCTGTGGCTGAAAATCAAGAGTACACTGCCTGTTGGGTGGATTTTTAGCTCCACATTAAATCTCTACTGCCATGTCAGTGAAGCCATTCCTATGTCGTTATGTTTTTAGCATTTGTTCTTGTGTCATACAAAGGTCACATCACTGACGTTAGTTGAATAGGTAAAGCACTCACTATTGGATCAATTTTGCTTCCTTGAAGTAAATGGCTTTACAACATAATTAAGCCCATTTTTGCCACTTCCGCAAGCTCCCTCAGACTGCAAGATTCTAATCACTGTTCAACTCTGTATGCTCCTATACCTCAAAACCAGCTTGTTTGTGCCCACAACACCCAGTTCCTCTGTATTCTAGCTCTCATGAGCTTTCTCACCTCTGTACATGCTACATTACCTCTCTCATGATCATCAAAGATAAGGGACAATCTGCACTAATGGTACAGTCTATGAATCAATGAAAGTGGGAGACTAAAACCAAGTGAAGAATTCCAGGTGGGAGACTAGGATTAGAAACTTCTGAGAGACAAATCAGAAAAAGTAAGTGGGAGAGCCAAGGTGGGAGGGAATGTTTGGCTGGGCTAGAAGATTGACAGGGCATATATAGCACTGTCCCTGCAGGAGAGATGGCTACAGAGGCAGGAGCAGGTATATGAAATTAGGGATGTGAAAGAGCCAGGCTGAAGAGTTTGGGGCAGTTGAGGGTTGTGAAATAGGTAGAAATGTCTAGAAATATCCAAGTCCTCTAGTTAGTTTCTTGGCCAGCCCAGAAGCTAATGGAGAGCCTCTGTTGTGTTTTCTATCTCCAGTGTCTGGCAAATATGAAGATAACAAACCTGCTGCTGTTATTATGTCCTCTGTTAACCCAACCCAAAGAGGTTTGTGCTGTAGTCCTAAAAGCTCCAAGCTGATTGCTTTTACACAGAAGAACAGACCCTCTGTGGATTTCTAAAGTATCAGGCAATGAAGACCCCAAGTTGAAAAATGAGTATTAATTCAACTCAGAGCTCTCTGTAGTGGAGAGCACACTATCTTCTGTGGCTTCTTTCCAACACTTTTCCATAATATTGATGATTAGCCTTTGATTCTAGTTTTTACATTTTAAAATTGATATTCCATAGGAAAGATGGGTGCAAAACAGAAGTCCCTGTGGAGCTAGAGCATCTCAGCCTTATCCAAAGACTCACTTTGTCTCTTTCACACCACGTTGGCATTTGCCACACTCTTTTCTTTCTTCCTCACTTCCTCTCTTGCCTTGAGTATTGGAAACCAAAAGTTGACCTGAAATGACAGAAATATGATACTATGGTCATAGTATTGTTGAGTTAGAGATTGCCCAGACACTAACATACTGTATAGTCAGTGTTGAAGGCTAATAAAACAAATCAAAACAAAACAAAACAAAACAAACTATGTGTGTCTGCAGCTATATATCTGAATTTGCCATAAATATATGCACGGGTGTTTGTAATTTCCATTAGTGTGTATATATACACATATATATATGGCGATGTTTTTGCAAGCAAAAAGTTCGGTTTCCTAACTGTATTTGCAGTTGCACTCCTCCTGTGTTTTAAAACAGAAATATATCCCCTTCCATTTTGTTAAGTAATAACTGAACATCTTTCTCAACATTAAAAGGCTGCTCAGAAATGCCTTCCATTTTCTGTCTACATTGCAGGAATAATCTTTGTGCTGGAGATATTTTTCATTAATTCATGAAAACCAAGTTTCTTCTCTGGAGAGCTTTAAGTCTGAGAAGTATTTCCTTGCCAGCACACAGTCATTTGGATGTACCCATGTCATGTCAGATGCAAGTGTGTTGAAGGACAGAACAAAACAATTACATGATCTAATCTCACCAATAAGCAACTTGTCTCTGGCCCCTGTGCAGGAGAGCACTGGGGAAAGTCTATTCGCACATAATTGAAGTTAACAAGTGTTTAAGTACTTCGTGGGTTTGGCTACTACTCTGAGAGAGGGATTTTTTTTTTTTTCCCTGGAGCTGATGGCTTACCTTTCTAGCAAACATGCTCTTCCCAGTTTTCTCTTGTAGTTTTGCTCTTTTCTTGAGTAATTTTACGTGCAAATAATGTATCCGTTTCACCTCCATGTCAGGATAAAATGAAGTTGACACAAGTATTTTAAGTTGGGTCAGGAGGCCAGAGAATAATCCAAAAATGCTTAAGAAGAATATGATGACTCCAAGCTGCATCCACGTTGTGGAGAGAGTGAGCTCTGGCTGAGGGATGCAGTCATGCTTAAACAAAGAGATCTTGAAAGGATCAGTCTTTGCAATATGCTCTCTCATACCAATGATAAAGCTGTTCTCATTCCTCTACACAAGAAAAGGGGAAAAAAAAGAGTTGATTATATTACTAATTCCCTCCTTTCTTAATATTTCTCCCACTGGACATTCAGATTTACAAAGGACCATAAATCATCTAGTCCATCTAGTGTATATATATCCTTGATCATAACAATATTATTTATTGGCTATTTATAAATGTTTCAGACTGCGTTTTCACCACTTTTCTTGGGAGACTGTCCCGCAATTTGGACTGTTAAGAATTTACCTTCTCAGTGGCTCTGATACATAAACACTTAGCTAATCTGTCTGTAATGGTTTAATATATTCCCACTCTCATGAATCTGATCGGCTCCTCTGTCGGAGGATCCTTCCTTCAGAGTAAAACAGCAGAGCAGAGTGAGTCCGTCCCTTTGGTTGTGGCTCAGTACATGATCAGCAGTGCTTCCACATCCACCTAGGCAGGTGCTCTAACCACGAGCTTATCACACAAAGCCAGCCACCTCTCCTCCTCTAATAGATACCTTTGCTTAGAAGAGCTCTGATGTCTTGCACTCCTTGTGGACTGAAATGCTGAATGAGGGGGACTAAGTTAGACATGCTGCTGGAACCAGTATTTCATGCTGGCAGGCAACTTTCTGCTCTGTGTGTAGGAACACTGTAGGGACAGCGAGTCACCCAGCTCTCTTTTCTGACCATGTCAGAGGGATATGTAGCTCTTCCTCGTGGCTCTTCTAACCACCCTACAGAGGCCAGGAACTTCTGACAGATGCTCATTGGAAGAATCAGGTGCCCAAAGCATGCTACTCGTTTTCAGCCTGTTTGCCTTTCCTTGACATTATCCTGTTCTGATCTATCTCAGTACGTTTTATCCCTAATCTGAACCGACGTTTAAGAAAGGAAAAACTGCATTATGAACTCAATCTGAAACAGGGGTACAAGTATATGAAGAACTTTACTGGGCATAACAAGAATAAACATCTCAAGAAGTCTCTCAGTCTGTCCTGCTCACCCAGCCAGCTTTCTAGACTCCCCGAGATCAGCAGCGCTGAGGCTTTTAATAACAAATCTGTTGAGATTAAGTTTTACATTTTAATGTGACTAGCCTTACTTGGGGAACTAGAAACAATCTGATGATGGCATAATTTTCTGTTTTGGGAGAATCAACCAGCTTTCCACTGGAGTAAACACTGCACATAAAGAGAGCAAATTCATAGTACAGGACTTATGAATCAGCCAGTGTCAGGCTCAGGCCTCTGTCCATCCGTGGGACTAATCTCCTTCTTTGCCCTGATTTGGGTCACACCCAAGGCAGGTGTTGTGGTGTAAACCCAGAGGGCAACAGAGTACCACTCACTCCTTCCCCCTCAGGAATGGGAAAATAAAACAAAAGGCTCAGGGATCATGGCAAGGACAAGGAGGGATGAATCAACCATTATGGTAATGGGCAAAAGACAGACTGGGGATTGTCAAAAGACAGATTTGGGAAGAAAAAGAACATCAATTTAATTTGAACACCAGCACCACCACTAATTTACCAATCAGAATAGGACAGTGAGAAACGCAACCAAATCTTAAAAACACCTTCTGCCCACCCCTCCCTTCTTCCCAGGCTCAGCTTTGCTCCCAATTTCTCTTCCTCCTCCTCCCCCACAGCAGCACAGGGGGGCAGGGGATGGGGGTTGCAGCCAGTTCATCACCCATTGTTTCTGAGGCTCCTTCCTCCTCAGGGGGAGGGGTGGGATGAAGATGTTTTTAAAACGTAGGAAGCTTATCACTCTGTTAAGTGGTGTTGTTGTTAATGTCTGAATTAAAGTGATGTTCTTTTTCTTCCCCTAATGAGTGAGTCTGCCTTTTGCCAGTGACCGTAATGGGTGACTCATCCCTCTGTCCTTATCTCAATTCCAGAGCCTTTTACTTTAGTTTTTCCTTCCCCTTCCTAAGGGGAAAGGGATATGAATGGCATGGTGGTGCTCAGTTGCCCTCTGGGCTCAAACCACAACATCCACTGACACAATCTGGGAATCATTGGTTTATGCCTGCCATACAGATACTGAATTTGTCTACTCTTTGTTAAGATAAAACTGGACAATAACTTAATTTTTATCCCATGGAGGAGTATGGTATTTTGATATACAATACAAAATATCATCATCTGAATTTGACCAGCAGCCTGACTTCATTTCAGCTAATTTAATTAGTAGTTCGCATTTGCCTGAAGTGCTCCCATTCCTCAAGGATTCTGTCCAATATGTCTCACTTCCCCTTCATGGTTCGGTCCCAATGAGACAAACGTCCCATGACACACCAGGACCATCAGTCTGCCACAACACTGTCTGAGCTGAACCTGTAATTGTTTAGCAGTGTGTCATAGAAAATGTGGTCTGGCTGAAGAAGACAGCTCAGAGGTTCTATATGTCACGTATGGAGAAGTGAGAATAAGAATCTCTCTGCCAAAGATTATATGACCTGTTCTGTTTGCTTGTATTTTAAAGCAATACACTTACTGCATTGCTCACCTTAATAATCTTACTCTGTGAAATTGCTTTTGGCTAGATGAATATTTGGTGGATGTGGAGAACTGGGAATGAATTCTCATTATTGTGAGCTCCAAGAGGAAGTAATAGAAAATGTTGAGTAAGAAGAAAATGACAGAATAAAGAGGACATATCATATTGTATTAACAGTCAAGCATTCCTTTGAAATTTTACATCTTGAAACTACCGAATGATTATATGTTTTGGGGAAATGTTTTAAGCCTGATCTTGCAAGCTATCAAACTGGGCAGCTTTCTTGGGCCTGCACAGCATCACATGGCTCATACACTCCAGAGGTGAAATCTCCAGCTTTAGAAGCATTCACAGACAAGAGCCTGAGCAATCAGATCTGACTCTTAAGTTGGCCCTGTTTTGAGCATGAAGTTGGTCTAGAGGGCCTCCAGACATCCCTTCCAACCTAATTACTCTATGGTTCTCAATGCCACTGCTGCTCCTGCTAGAACAACCTTGAGATTTCAGCAGCATTTTGTTATTTCATATGCATGCAGCCATGCTTTTTTAAACTATGAGCTCTTCACACTACTCAGCTAAAGAAAGGTAGACATCTATTACATTAATTTCACAGTGGCATTTTGACTATAAAAGTGGTACTTCGCAAATGTCAGCGTTATGAGTTTCCAATTTTAAGCTCCCTGTCTTCTCCACATATAAAAGTGGAGGAATTAAAGTCCTACTTCCTATATTCACCATTCTCTAGAAATATGATGAAACTTTGAAAAGTGCAGAGAACTGTCTGGTCATCCAACACATGTACCTGTAACAGCAATGGCTATTTTTGAAATAAATGGATGATAATGCCATGAAAGAACTGATAGCTCATTGGCTGTATCTCTGCTCCTGCAGCTGCTGAAGATGAAGGGAAATTTTTCAACACTAAACTCAGAAATATAAAGTACTGATAAGTACTTACTTGCTGAAAGAGGCTAAGTTTAATTTCTAGATCCGGTACTTCTTGGAGATGTTTATTCACAGAAATAATTAGCCAATAAAACAAATAATCTACTGCAGCAAACAGAAGCCAGATGCAAAGATGAATAATTACAGGGAGAAAAAAATACTTCATGTTTTTTCTGTCCTTCCTTGTGAGGCAGAAAGATGGGATCATCACATAATCTTTCCTTTCTTTTCTGTTAAGTGGCAGAACACAGGGTCTTTGCTGTTGCTTTTGGTGCTCATCAAATGTGATGAACTGTTTTGTGATATAAGTATTCTTAAATTTAGCACTGTTAGAGCCCACAAATTTTTTGATAAAGAGGCCAGTTCCAAAAGAAGCTAGAAAAATCCCCACTACAGGCAATGCTTTTTGGCCTATATAGGGCAGTATAGTCAGCATAAAAGATATCTGATCAGCAACTCTCTGGATTTCTTGCTTTGTGTCATTTAACTCTTGTTTTAATGCATCATCTGAAATTGAATAAGATGGTGTGAATTCATGTCTTAGGAACACTATATGTTTAGATATTTCAGAGGAAATCTTGACTGCCTCGTAAATCCATTTTACTGCCTCAACATAATATTTTATCAAGGCAAATTGCTCATACTCTAAATGACAGGTTATACTGTCTGCCAGAATCTTTAGGTTGTGAAAAATATTTTGGATGTTGCCAGCCACCACGACACCTGTGCCAGCAGTAATAAGAGCATTCCTGCCATTTCGCAGTCCGCAACAAAGAAGGAACAGGACACTAAAACAGCGCAGGTGCTTGAAATAGGAGAGCGCGATAGAAAGTGAGATCCAGATGAATCCAGAAATCAGTAAGGGACCCAAAGCGTGGTGTTCCAGGGAGAAGTGCATGCCAAGGAATAAGAGAAAGCTTGAGAGAAAGCCAACTGCAGAGCAAACTGCAAAAAGTTGCATCAGATACTTCCAGCCAGGCTTCCTTTCAGATATAAAAATTCCCCATGCATTCTGGGCTATTGAGACAAATGTTCGCATTTTCTTCTGATTGTTGCTGAAACTGCGATGACAAAAACTAAAAGGAAAGGAAAACAAAAATACTGTTAGCTATGGGTCACAGTACTGACAATTATGTGCTTTTAACTGGATGGTCAATACTTCTTCACATTGCAAAAAATACAGGTCTGACTCACGTGGGGGGCTGAACCACCCCATGTGAGACCCAGATCTTTGTCCCCAATATCACATATATAAACATGGAAGAGGTGACTCTAAAAGGTATTCTATCTTTTTTCCAAAGTACTTTTGTCCTTTTACTTTTTGTACAGTTTGGTTTCTCATTGGTTATATAGACACAGCGGTTCCTATGTACATATGCGTGTGTGTATGTGAGAGGGACACAAGCCTCCAGTAGCACCCAGTGCTTCCCAGCAGATGCTAGCTTTGCCTTTCAGGGGCACTGGGAAGGGAAAAGAGGGGAGAAGGGAGACTTCCCACTGGTACTCCGATGCAGGGAAGCATGGCTTGGCCCACGGGGAACAGCCAGAGCAGATGCCAGGGAGGGAAGAATGGGCAGAGCAGCATATGAATGCTGCTCAGGGATGAGGAATGAAGGTCTCCTTTTTCAGCTGGAGGTAGCTCAGTACAGAGGGGAGAAAATGTGTCTCAGAGGCATCATCCCTTCTTTGGGTCTCTCCTGGGATAGCACAGCTACGTATTGGTCCATATATACTTTTAATCCTAATTGTTTGTACTTGTCACCATCTCTTCTGCATCCGAACATGCCTGTACTGTAAATTGCAGAGTATTTCTGTGAGATTCAATTCAGTTTGATGGGGGACAGTCCAGTGCTCACATCTTTCCTTCTTCTTTTACAAAATATAGTGCAATTTGTCTGAAGATGCAAGATCAATTTATATGCATATTAGCCTTTTAACATACTAGAACAAATGAGATACTAATTAAATAAAATAAACTGTTGCAATTTTGTGTTATAATAGGGAACAGTTGTCTTTGCAAATACATCCTGAAGATATTACTTTGTCTTGAGTTTAGCTTGAACACAGCAGGTAGCTAGGAACTAAAGTATTGTTTTGGACACATACTGCATTTTACTGGCATTTGACGTTATGAGTTCAGCTAGCATTCACTGCACCATTTTCCCCTTCCTCTCACTGTAATTAGTAATTAGTTATGTCATTATTGGCTTTGCATGCAACAGGAGGTGAGGGTGATTGGAGGAGGCATCTGACCTCAGCTGGGACCTTCTTGGAGTGCTGTGCTTGGTGTGCTGCTTTTCCTTAGCCTCATTTGAGCGTGATCGTTTCTAGTAATGAGGACTCTCCTGAAGGATGCTGTGTTGTTGGTGCTTAACTGCTTCAGCTGGGATTAATGGTGGGCAAAAGCTCTCAGGGTGGGCTCAATCCCTGGCACTATTGCTCTGCTTGGAAAGGCTGAGGAAATTGCTTCCCTCCAGGGCCTGAGGAATTCAGCTGTAAACTGAGTATAGCAGCAATTAGCAGCTCCTTCACAGGAGCAAAATTAGTTAGTGAATGTTCCTGAAGTATGTAGAAATCATTATGTGTTTGGGAAAGTGGTGTAACCAAAATGGGGAGGAGAGGTAGGACACAAGTCACCAGACTCCAGCTTTGCCATGAACAGAGCTGTTCTCTGTTTATGTGGACAGTTTGCTTTGCCCTCTTCCTATTGCACTAGAAATTAACAAAGCATTTTTAGGAAACATAATTAAGAAGGAGATGTTCCTGGAGTCCAGCAGAACCAGATTTAGCAGCCAGCGAACTCTGCCAGTGCATCCTGAACTTCCTAGACTGGATCCTTAAACAGTACGTGCCACCACATCTTCTTTGTAGATATAAGAAAAATTGCCCTGTACAGTGAATAGATCTGGAGTTCTGTTCTTGATTTAAGAAGCCATAAAAAATAAAATGCAACAAAGGTAGTATTTATGTAATATTATACAAAAAACATCCATGTGAGAAAGTAATACATTTTGAGTTTTCTTTTGCAGAACTGATTTCACATCTGTTCTCAGGCATAGTTTCTGCATGATTTTGAGTGTTTGCATGTATGGGCATGGTGTATTCCTGTTAATGTGCATAAGCATTTGGTAAATGGCTGCAATATGTGACTGGGAGTTTGGCATAACTACATATAAGAATTGGAGAGAGGGTCAAGAATGAAACCTTATAACTAACAAGAGCTGTACTTCTGGACCAGCAGGCTGGAGACTTGCAAAGTATGGACAGAACTTGAAAATAATCAGAAAGTCTCCTTTACTGGGCAGATTTAATGCTGTCACATTAATGATGTCACAGGTTTGTCCCTAATCTGCATGAACCAGTTTTAAGGCAGGAAAGGCATTGTAAGCAGTCACTGAATTTTGGTCCTTGTGGCACACACGCTTAGGTGTCTCTGCATGATCACTGAAGGTCGGAAAGGAGCACTCCCATCTCCTGCAGAGCCCATCTCTGAGCTCAGCCACTGCCAGGGTCAGAGTCAGGCTCACAGCATGCATCTCTGTGGCTTGACTGACACCTCCATTTTCCCCCATAAGACATCAGCAACAGACGTAGATATTCAGCACTGAAGAATCATGCAAAGGATGAAAACTCTATACCTAAAAAAATTTCGAGGCTGAAAATTCTTATATCAGCAGGTACTTAAACAGCTGTGAATGCTTGGGAAGGGAAAATAACACTGGCTCAGAGGTAGAAATAAATCTTTGGCTTGACTAAAGAGGCTAATTCAGTGTTTAAAGAAATAGTAAATCTTGAGAGCTTTCTGGAACAATTCCTCTTGAAAACATAAATCACAAAACCTCTCCTGAGGTTGTTAGGTGCCAATACAAATCCTGATAGGAGTCTGACAAGAACAAAACCTTCATTTCAATTGCAGTCTGAAGGAAAGCATTTTTTCTCCTGTCCTGTAACATGAACTAATGTGGGGGCTGCTACCATTATTTATGTAGCGTAAAGAAAGAATTATTCTTAGAAAGCAGTTTCTTGCTCTTAAGTGCCCATGTCTTTCCACCATAGTTTCTTGTGATGTACACTACAGAAGGGAGCTAGAAACTTGTGCTTTAGCTCTGCCTTTGAACCTGATTTTTCTGTAGGGTCCAAGAGGAATCTCTACGTGCCTTAATTTCCCTCTCTAGGAAATACTCAGATTTGGAAGTGTGATATTCATCTACCATATGGCATGCTGGCGTGAGTAATTATAAGAACAAATTCTTAAAAGAAGCCTCTCCAGCAAGGAGTTTGGGCCATACTTCTTAAGGCTCCTTATGTATTAAAATTAATGCAAAATAATTAAGAGGTATTTTTCTAGTTTAATTTTTAAATTCAAAAGGAAAATTTAAAAGAGTTTTTACGATCCTGATTGTGATATCTCAGATACTGGTTACAGTTTTTAGGTAAGCAAAGGGTAAGTACACAGCGTCAGGAGTCCCTACAGAATGCCTTTCCAGCTCAATCATGAGCACTGTGCTAGAGCTGTGTCATTTTTATACAGTACATATTGACACTGTGTAGGATTTCTTCCCTGCCTGCTACGGCTACTCCTCCACTTTCATTGTCCAAGAAGTTGTGGCCATCTTCACTACCAATCTGGTCCTGTCCTAGTCCCTTGCTTACCCCATATCTGATGATGGCTTGGTACATTTAGATGAGAGGAGAGGAGAGAGGAGGGGAGGGCTGGAGTTGGAAGGGACCTACAACGATCATCTAGTCCAACTGTGATAGATTGAAACTCCTTATATTTACAGGCAGTATTTCTGAAAACCTTCTCTACCCATTCAACTACTTGCTTAGAGGTGATCAGCTGGCCTACATTTCTAGTATATGGATTAGCCACCCATGCAAACTCTTTGCCAATTTTTAATATAATGGAAGAAGCAAATGTCTCCTAAAAATGTATAGTGAGAAAAATAATGGGATTTACTAAATAATTAGCTTTTTTAATATAGACACAGCTGATGTGGCAAAGAATAACCAGCACAGTCAGATCTTTAGGTCTGCTTTCTCTTTTAACACAGACCTAACTCAGGCAAAACCTGGGGAATACAAGCCTCATTGAGTTAGGACTGATTAGTACCAACCAGTTTCTGCACCCTCACACAAAGTCTGACACGACTTTTATGTTTGCAGAACTGTTGTTTGAGCTGATCTCAGGAGGAGTACAGCAGTTTGCAGGCCCTTTGTCCTGCACAGTGCACAGGATCCTCATACAGAACAATAAAGTCATGTAAAGAGGGACATTAGATTAAATGGGAAACTTATATCCCATTGGTGTTAAAGCTTCAGCTACACAGCGATCTTTGCCTCATAAATCCTGTTTGGATTTTATACAGGAATTAAGAAAGAGAAAACACACAATAAGAATATAAAAACAACTGTTTCCTTTTTTGGCAGTTTCAGCAGCCTTCTCTCCTAGCCTGGATCAGTTACATTGAAATGTAAGACAATTACTTCCCTTTTTTGGATACTGTCAAAAAATACAATGCTGAACTATGATTTAGTAAGAGGCAAAAATACAGGAGGGAGTCCTACATGATTTCCTTTGGTCAATGCAGGGCATTCAGCAAAGAAATAAAAGATCAGTCAAAAATCCAGCAATGTTACTGTAACTATTCCTCAGGTTTCATTGAGACCCCTGTCATTTCTCATGTTCACATTATTTGCTTTTAACTACAGGGTGAAGGAGAGGAAATGATACTAAACACAACAAACACAAACGAGGACTAAAATATCTAATCAAATATGTGCACGTAGGAACTTGAAGTACTAAACAAGTCAGCAATTCAAATAAAACAACAATTTATACACATGCAAAAACAAACAAGCAAAAATAACAACTGATCATGATCTCTTTTTCTTCATATATTTGAAATACATGCCTCAGGAAATCTCTGAACACTGCAAGGTATTATCAAGTCTTTAGGATGCTACAGATTGTTTAAACGTCATCTAATATCAGATGTCTATAGCACTGGGGATTGGACTAGACCATCTTTAAAGGTC